CTGAAGAGAGTATTTCCAGTGCAGTTCTGGGGCTGCCACTGCTGTGATGGCATTTTGAAGCCACAGCTTGTCTAGTCACAATTGCCTCAAAGACATCCCTGGTTAGTCCAGGAGGTGGAGAAGGAGCAGAGTCTCTTTGGACAGCTCCAAGAAGGGAAGCCTGTTTGCTTCTCTGCCTGCCTATACTTAGGCTAGATATGGCCAGAGAGATGTGTCCACTGTCTGCTGGTTCTGATCTGTCCCTTTCACTGTACTCTGGGTCAGGGCCAGAAATGCTATTGCTTTGATGTTGTGCCCCAGTGTGAGGGGTGTGTTACACACTGCTGTTCCTGGGAAGCTCCCACACTGTGCTGTGGGTGTTCATACCTGCTGCCCGCTCGCTGCAGGAGTCCTGCCAGCTGGCAGCAGCAATCACAGCCGTGTGCCAGAGCATGGCTGGACATGGGCCTTTGGACTAAGGATCAAATTCCTGCCAGTGACTAAAGCTGTAGTGGGATTATTATTCTAAATCAGGTTATCAATAGCTCTTGCATCTTCTTCACTGTCAAATCTCAATGGGCAGGGCCTCCTCAGTAAAGGGGCTTTGACGCAGGAGTGTGTGCTTGGCCCAGCTAAGGTACATAGTGGCAGTGAGAATCTGGAACAGTAGCAGAGCCTGAGTCCCAACCAGTGCCAGGAAGCCCCCAGTGAAATCAGAGGGGTGAATCCACTGCGAGGTTTGGAAGAGAAATGTACCCAGGCCTCCAGACAGGATTATCTTCTGGATGATGAGTATGATGAGGATCACCTTCCAGTCCTCTGTCTTGTCTGCGCACATCACATGTGCAAGAAAAATGGGGTAGAAGATGCTGAAGACCAGGCAGGTATACACACAAACCCTGGCTAACACCACTCCTGGTGGACTGATGCCCATCACCTGCAGATGCTTGTACTCCAGACACTGCAGCTCCCTGGCTGTCTCATTCCACAGACAGAAGTTGTAAAAGCCGATGCGTTTGTCAGAGAGGTTGACCAGGTTCCCAGCTTCCCATAGCAGTGCATAGGACATCAAGGCCAAGGTCCCGGCAGCCTCAAGGAGGGTCAGCGCACAGAGCAGGTGCCCGGTGCACCTCTGTTGCAGCAGCTCTCTTGATATCATGGTAAAGCCTGCTGTGGGGACACCCACTGCAAAACATGAAGGGGGGCCGCTTGGTTGTTGTGTGTTATGGCACCCTTCCCTAGGTGTGCTCTGAGCCTGTGTCACTGAGGCCTCAGGACTCCCCTTGCCCCCTTGCAAGTAGGGCAGGAGCGTCTCAGTCCTGCCTCTGTGCTGCGCATGTGTTCCTGGGTCGAGGGCGGTGTGTTTTTGGTCACAGCAAAGGTGGCTTAATGATGTCCTGTGCATGGACCAGCACTGGGAGGATGGGATGAATCTGGTGTGGCTCCCTTAGCACTGCACGCGCCCTTTGCACCATAGAATCATAGGTTGGAAAAGGCCTTCAAGATCATCAAGTCCAACTGCTAACCCAGCACTGCCAACTCCACCACAAAACCGTGTCCCTGAGCATTGCATCTACACGTCTTTTAAATACCTTCAGGGATGGGGACTCAACTGCTTCCCTGGGCAGCCTGTTCCAGTGCCTGACTACCCTTTCAGTGAAGAAGTTTTTCCTCATATCCAACCTAAGCCTCCCCTGGTGCAACTTGCATCCATTTCCTCCAGTTGTATCGCTTGTTACTTGGGTCTCACGTTGGACAAAATAGGCATTTGTCAGCAAACTGCAGTGCTGGGAGGGGAGCAAAACACTGCTGTCTGGTAAGGAGGGGGCTATGAGCTATTCTGGGAAAATGCTTTTCTTTTGGTTCTGGGCAGACAAGGACATTCCTTGTGATACTTGGGAGTGGGGCACCTATGTTTAATGTGCACAGGAATAAAGCTTCTTTGTCCAAAATTCTCCTCCTCCACACAGTCATAGCCAAGAGGAGCACACACACAGCATGGAAGGGGGTCACAGCATCCAGACACTGACCTGTCCCCTTCCCCTGGTCAACACCTCACTTCTTGTAGCTTCCCTTGGAGGTCGTCTTCACAACAGGAGGCTTCTGGAGAGACTGGAAGGTCACATGCGCGTTGTTCTGAATCTACAATGAAGACACAAACGACCAGGAAAATACCTGTGCTCGGGCCCAGAGTGTGCTGCAGAATGAGACCTCATGCACGTGTAATTTCACCAGGGTTTGTCTTGCCCCTGGTATTGCCTCTTGGTTTGTCTGTCTTTACACGTGCTCTCCTGCAGCCAGGCATTGCTGCTTTTCCTCTCCTGGTCCTGCAAGGGTTCACGCCCGCCCACCATTCTTCCTACCATCCTGCCTCGCAGCCCTCAGAGGGAGAACAAGCTGCGCTTGGAGGGTGCTCTTGGTTAGCTGACCAGCTCCCCAGGGATTTCTGTCAGAACTCAGAGCTGGAAACAGTACAGCCCAGCTGGCTCCTGGCCCTGCCCACCCATCAACCCTTGCTGTCGTATTTCTTCAGACAGTTTCCTAAGGGAGGCAGGCTTGTAGAAACACGGGCTTTTTGTTCAATTATCTCACATTACCTTTTATTTACCCCCCCCACCTCCATAAAATAAAAAAGCAATTAAAAATTGTCCTAGTTGCACATGTTTACTAGAGAGGGGACAGAGAATTAAATTCCTAGCAGGTTCGTGGAAATATATGCTGGGGTGGAGGAGAGCCATCCCAGAGACCCTGCGCTGCTATGTGATCTCTGCGTGTATGAGGGTCCAGGGAAATCCCATGGTATCTCTGACCTCTCCTCTGCTTTGAGGTTCATGTCAATAAGGACCTCTTTTCTTTCCCTGGTGATACCCCTCTGTTCACTCTGCCAAATTGCAGGCAGATTTGCCCCTCAGCCTCCTGCTGCCTCCCCAGCCTAGCCCAGCAGGTAAATCCCTGTCCCCAGGTGTGACTGTGACAGAGACAGAAACATGCCTGATGCGGGTACCCTGTGCCAGCTGGGGCAGAGAGCACACAGCTGGCCTGGAGGCAATGTACAGTTTGGCAATGAAAGCTGAGACGGTGCCCCACCACCAGTGCAGCTGCAGACACGGCATTTGTGAGCTCTGCAGCTCGGCCCCAAGGCTGGTTTGGAGGCAGCCTGGCTGAGAAGTAAGGGATAAACAGGAAAGAGCTGTCACGCTGTGTCCAGCTGGGGCTTTTCCCAGACATCTGCAGCCCCTCTGCAGATGGTGCCTGTGCCTTTGGACAGGAGAGTCTGTGGATCTACCTCAAAGGTGCAAGAGGAACCCAAGTACGGCACAGCGAGCCCCAGCCTGGCTTCAACCTCCTTGTTTCTGGGCAGGCATCACTGGAAGCTCTGGACTTCACCATGGGAGAGCTCTGTCTCAGTCTCCCGGGCAGAGAGAGGCTCCATGCGCATTGCTCAGGAGCTCCCTGGGGTGACTGTGTGTGAGATGAGGCTCATAGTGACCCTCTGTGCTGCTGGGATGGCACAGCCCTTCTCTCTGCTGGCTCATAGGCAGGTGAGCACCTTCCCTGGCTGCAGCTGTGCCTTCCCCGCAGTGAGCTGCTGGCTAGGTGCCTGGGCAAAGGCAGCAGGATGGAGAGGCCAAGGCACGCAGCTCTGGCGCAGGATCTGGCCTCTGTGTGGGGATGAACATCTCTGTGGAGCCACTGGACCCCCATTGCAGTGAACAGGCTGAATGCAAAGGGGTGAGGGAATGGGCATTTTTCTCTTGCACCGAAGAGCTCCCCAGAAGATTTGGCTTTCCTGCATTCCCCCTCCCCGGCTGCCGGGGGAAGTAATGCCATGCAAGAGCAGGGGGAAAGGAAGGCAGCTTTGACCTTAGCACTTTTCCCTCAAGCCACCCACTCCCTGCCAGGATCCCTCTCGCCCTGTCAGGCAGGATCGGCTGCAGGGAAACCACAGGTGAAGAAAGGCTGCTGACAAGCTAAGGATTGCTGGCAAATGGAAACCAGCCAGCGGCACACAGACCAGACTGCAGAGGAACTGCCCCAAAAGTGTCCAACACCTGGGAAAGGCCCTACTCTCTCCCAGAGATTTGCACCCTGCAGCACCACTTCTTCTGGCAGCTGCCCCCAATGCCAGTGGCATTAAAAAGGTGTGGGACCCAGTAGAGAATACTTACAGGCTGCCCATCTGGCTGGGTGCGGAGCTGAAACAGGCTGGAGAGGGCCGAGGTGCCACCCTGGCGAGCTGAGCTGGTCTGTGGCTGCTGCCAGGTCCTGTGCCGGCTGGGCTCTGACACCACAGCCTCTGTTGTGTCACAGGCAGCTGCATTTGCTTTCTGTTTCGTTTTTGAGCCACCGGGCCATGGGAGCCCGATGCAGTGCTCCTCCCTGATACTGCGTCATGTAAATATGAGCAAGAAAACAAGCCGAGCCCAGCCACCACTGTCCAAGCCGGGGGCAGGTTTGCACTTTCTTCTCCTGGCGTGCTAACCCACATGAATAACTGACCAGACTAAGCTCACCCACAAAAGTTGTGCTACTAGAGTGGCTTGCGTGTCTGTGGAGGCTGAGATGAGTTTGTTTTGTTTGGACACTTTGGTAGAGGTGACTGACCGTCTCAGTGCCGACCCCAGTACCCCAGAACTGTTGGAGTTCACTGACTACTTTGCCCTTCTTGCATTTTGAACGCTGCTCCCCTCCCTCTGCTTCCCAGACCCAGCTTTGCCCGCGCTCCCCCTCGCCCGCAGACACAGTGCCTACGCAGGCACAGCACAGGAGAAGTGGCAAGCTGCCTGCTGCAACAGGAAACCTGTAAAACCTCAAGTGATGTAAGGGGCAAAACTCTCCTTCCTTTAATCCTCCTGGCCAGGTCCAGAAGCATTTGTCCTGTCCTATAAGCAGCCTTGGTGGTGGGTCTGTTAGAGAGGTGTGTGTTGAGGGGTGATACGTGTGGGACACCTAGCCATGAAGCTGTTCAGAGTCCCACCTAGTAATTCCATGTTTAGGCATGGTCTGGAAATGTCCAGGTGGTACATAGGTTGTGAGCCTGTAATTGGTACTCACATCCAAGAGCACAAGGGAGACGAAAGGAAATATGGGAGGAAGCCCTAAGAGAAGCTTAATGCATAGAGACATCAGGCAGGTGGCGGTGGGGAGGTGCCTTCCTATCATCTGGCCTGTGTGCGTGGAATAATTTTAGCATTGAGAAGGGCAAGGGTCTGGATCGAGGTGGTTCAGATCACGGATGGCTTGGGCGGGGGTTATGGTGGGAGAAATCAGGGGCAGGGGCAGAAGGCTTGCAGCAAATAAAGCCTAGCAGGCCATAGCTGCTGAGCTTAATGTGGTGAGTAGCGGGGACACAGGAGGAAGCCTTGGGGCTGAATATGGCCATCATCTAACATTGGGGCTGCTGGTGGGGAAATTGAGGTATGAGCAGAGACCACCAAGGCAAGACCTATGTTTGAGTGAGGAAACATGCATTGGCAGAAGGCATGTTTGTGCTCTCAGGAGGAGTGGTCACGCAGTTTCACCTCACACCGCCCACTTTTCTGTCATTCAGGAAGGAAAAGGGTGCATGATTTAGGTCTTGTAATCAGTTAGCTCCTTAGCTGATCTCAGCACCACAGGGGAGGTTGCTCTTTTCCTGCCACAGGCAGGAGGCACAAGCAGCTCCTTCCCAAACATCCTCACTTCACATTGGGGTCCTGTTTGCTAGGGCAACAGGATGACTGCCACAGTGGGTCTGCTCCATCACGCCACAGCATGTCTCCTCTGAGCCACTGTCCTCCTAGGTAGATGTCTGATCCCCTTTCCATCTCCTACGCTTCAGCCTTCATGAGTGTGACAGATGGCCACACATCCTGGCTTTAGCCTTTGCACACACATCCATCTCTCTGGCCTTCTCTGCACTGCTCCAAGCAATAAATACACCATTTGGGAATGTTACTTTTGGAGCGTGGCATCCTCCTGGCCAGAGCTGGTTGCCTGATTGTGCACCTATGGAAGAAGCATTCCTCAGCATTTCCCAAGGAGCCTTGTGTCTCCTCCCCTGCAGGGCCTTGGGCTCTGCTGCTTGTAATGCCTCCTGGGATACTGGCTGCCAGCAGGGAGAGGCACAGTCAACCGCTGGCTCAAGACTTGCCTTTGGTAGCACTGACCTTCTTATTC